GCCGGGCAGCCCCCTCCCCGCGCGGGGCGCGCGTGCGCGGTTCCGCGGCGGCGGAGGGAGCCGCGATGGAGGGCGCTTTGACTGTCCGCCAGGTAAGCGGCGCCTCGCTTGGGGCAGCTTCCCTAGCGGTGGCTGGACCGGCAGTTTTCTTCACGATAGTCGTTTGAACCCTCTCAGGTTATGATAATTAATTCGTCCCTTCTCTTGTCTTGGTGCTCTTTGGAGTAATTTGGAAAGTTGTTACCGAGGAAACGGTTTCCTGTGCTTCCTGCGAGCCTTCCCCTGTGGGCGACGGTGGACCGTCTGCTTCTCTGTGGGCGTGGAGAGCTGGAATTTGGTCCCGAAAAGTCCTAGTCCAGATGTCTCAGCCTCAGGCCCCACTGACTCAGGCCCCTTGGTCGCGATTTTGACCCGACATCACGTCGATTCAGTCTCACCCGCTTCCCCTGTCAGCCCTTGAATAAAGGACCCAGAACTCGAGTTTAAATCACTGTGCTGTCAACCAAGCTTTTGATTTCAACCAGTTTTGTTATTTGTTTACTGCCTTATTTGATAAAAGGAAGAACTTGCTGATTAATCTTCAGGGTGAAAGCCTACTTTTGTTGCAGGAGTACCTGCATTTCTGAACACGATGCTCTTTACTTTTACATTGGTTGTGTGTATAGATTTTACTTTTAGAGAATTGCAATCAGTGCGATACCTTTTATTTGAGAGGCATTTTACAGTTTACAAAGTGGCAGAGGCATTCAAATAATTGTTGAATGAACAAATTAATGTACTATTTCAATTGATTCTTAAAACATTACAATGAAATAGGCGTGATAGATATTAATGAACCCAGTGTGTTATTTTTTCACCCCTGTCCCTGGCACTGGGTGTTGAGATGAGATGGTGAGCAACAGAGACATAATCCCTGCTCTCAATGAGTTTATAATCTAGACCAGAGAGAGTTATTACCCCTACTGCAGAGTGAAGAAAATAGATTTAGAGAGGATGCCTGCCAAGATCACACAATTAATAAGTTAAAGAGGTAGGATTCTGTTGCAGGCGAGAATGCCAGAATGAACCTCCCCCCAAAGAATTTGATTTGGGTATAGAATGATGCCACACACACACACACACACACACACCATGAGTGTATGAAAAGGCTTATTACTTCTGTATAATGTCTTATTAAATACCTACATAATGAAAAGGGAAGAGCAGGACAGGCTTCTCAAGCAGACCCTAAATGACTTAAAAGGGCAAGGAAAGGAAGCTAGATCTGGGTTTTTATTGAGGTTGAAACTGGGGTCAGGGAGAGGGTTCCTGTGTGTGGGCTGGGGCTTGCTTGGTTTGACTCACCCACACCAAAGGTAAGATCGCCCAGGCTTTCTTACCAGTTTCCCCATTTGAGGGACAGAAGAGGAAGAGGAGGGGCTTAATAGCGTCAGCAGGCAAACGTAAAAAAATTGAATCAAACTCCTTACTATAATTCAACCTGCATGTTCGGTTAATGACTGAAATGTACTATTTTTCATTTAGTTTTTGAACTTTTGTAAGTAAGCCATCATGGCTGTCTCTGAGGCCTGCAGCCTGCACCTAGTAGGAAGATGAAAGTTACATTGAATGCCTTGTTCAAGAGCCCCTCGGTGTATTTTGAGAAATAAAATGAGTGCCTTGGTCACTCTTAGTAATGTCTGGAACTCTAACAGGGATAGGAGTGTCTTGGTGAGGCCTTTTATTATGGCTTTCGTGTATGTACAGACATGTGTGATCTTGATTTATATTTTGAGTATCTGTGAAACAAGAGATTTCCAGAGTTCTTTACCCCAAAGGGTGCAGCTCTTAGTGCCCCAAGAGTCTGTAAAAACGTGCAGATGAAGCCAATTGTTGGCCCAAGCATCCAGTAAGATGACTGTGGGAAGTTCAGCCAGTTGTGCTGACCTTTGGGTCCTTACCTTTATCAAGGACATCTTGGTGAAAATCAGTAGATATCCGGTGAGCTCCATTGTGTGTAATGGTGGTGATGCTGTCCACTGAATAGAAAGTTTGTACATTGAACTTCAAATGGGAGTTTGAAGTGTACAAACTCTGATTGCAGTTCACTCAGTTGAACTCAAATTACTCCTCAGGTTTTCAAGGGATTCAGAAGAGTGGTGACCTCTTCCAGCACCATGACATCTGACAAAAGAATGAGGACAGGGGAGAGCATGTCCTCCTGCAAGTGAGATATGCCATGGGGCCCAGATTTGGTTTTGTCCTGTAGCAAGGCCTTGGTAGTTATGCTGAGCTGCAAGGTGTTGCTTCTAGCATGAACAGCTGGATATGGAGGATCACAGGCACAGGGCTTGTAGATCCTCTATTTCCAGGAGAGTCCATTATGCTGTCAGGAGCTGCCCCTCTAATGGCAAAGAGTGTGGGACTAGGGAGTTAGTTTCTTGCATCAGAAGCCTATGGACAACTTACAGACACTATGGGTGGTCCAGAGACTCCAGGAGTCAGGGAAAGAAGCTGCTAAAGTCTCTATGGTGAAGGATTCTTTGTGTGTATGTGTGTGTGTGTTTGGGGTGGGGTGGGGTGGGGTGGCGGGAGGGGAATAGCACTAATGGGAGTGTCTGTTATATTACAATTTTGACAAATTTTAGAATCATTTTTGGGAGGGGTCCTCATTTAGCATGACTCATTTGCAAGTAACAGTGTAGATAGCTTAAGTGAAATTTGTAAACGAGGAATATATTTCTCTAGACCCCCAAAATGCCTAATAAATGTTGAGCTTGTTTTAATGTTGTGGGTGCTGAGAGGGTTTTCTTGACATTGTTAGGCGTGGAGAGGCCCTTGGTTTACCAAATAATTTTCAGGAATTTAACTAAGGTAGTAGTCCTTACGTTGTGTTTGGGCAATGGTCCATCCCCTTTTCGTGAACTCCTTTGTGCATATTTGTATGTTCTGACTGGGTATGTCAGAAGAATGTCTTCAGAGGATGATGTAATCAATGTAATGTCATACCTCTGCTCCTGGAGAAAAATGGATACAATTATGATATTGCCTGTAAAGTTTGCATGTGATGGCAAGCCTTTGAGGTATCCTGTGAATAGATAGGTAAAGGTATATCGTGTCCCACTAGAGGTGAAGGAAAAATGTGACTGAGAGGTTATTGAAAGAGACATTGAATAGAATATTAGCCAAATTTAGAATATCAAGTATTTACCAGTTTCTGATTGGATAGAGTCAATAATTTCCATAGTATTGGGGACAGGGGCCTTCATGGGTAAGAGCACAGCATCAAGGGCCCAGTAGTCAACTGTGAGGCACCATTCATTTCTCCAACTTTAACAGGCCACACTAGGCTGTTAAATGGAAAAGCAGTAGGGATAATCACTCTTTCACTAATTAGGTCTTATATAATAAATCCCAATCCTCAAAGGCCCTGTTTTATGTTATATTGAGTTGTATTTACTATTTTACCTAGGGGTTCGGGGGTAGTCCATGGGGTCCCGCTTTTTAAAAGGCCATTTGTAAGCTCGGGTCATGATCTCAGGGTCCTGGGATTGAGTCCTGCTGGGGCTCCCTGCTCAGCAGGGAGCCTGCTTCTCCCTTTCTCTCTGCCCCTCCCCCTGCTCATGCTCTCTCTCTGTGTCTTTATTTTTTTATTTTTCTCTTTTTTGAGGTTTTATTTATTTGACAGAGAGAGACACAGCGAGAGAGGGAACACAAGCAGGGGGAGCGGGAGAGGGAGAAGCAGGCTTCCCGCTGAGCAGGAAACCCAATGCGGGGCTCGATCCCAGGATCCTGGGATCATGACCTGAGCTGAAGGCAGACGCTTAACAACTGAGCCACCCAGGCGCCCCTCTCTCTGTGTCTTTAAAAAAAATAAAATAAAAACCCTGAGCTTAAGTTGAGTTTGAATTATCCCTTCGCTGTGCCACATGGGTGCGCTGGGTGGTTTTCTCTGTAACCCCGGAGGATTAGGATTTTTGTTACAACAGAGGCATAGAGGGCAGCAGCAACAGGGCAAGCAGGAACAGCAGAGGTATTTAAGGGGCCCGGCGAGCTCATTGTTCTCACAATGGCTGCTCCCTTCCCTCCTCCCGACTCGTTTCTCTCTTTTTTTAAAACTCCATAATGACTCTTTCACGAGTGACCACCCACTGGGCCCATATCTTGCACAGGGTATACTCTTTCCCCGAATGCTCCATAGATTGGGGGTCAGTGCCTGATTCATTTATTTTTAACTCCATTGTTTGTATAAATCAGAGTGAATTTACCAACTTCCCACAAGTGGTTAGTAAGGTTGCTTCCACTCTCTTAGTATTGCAAACATTGTTGACTCCATGTACACAGGGTTTTACTTTATACCCATTTTAGGGTATAAAGATTACTCTCCAAAGAGGTGGAACTAATTGTCACTCCCATTACATGGTATTTTTTGCTGTTTAATGTTCCTCTAGCTGACTATGAACTTCTGGAGGCTAAGGACTTTGTTTTATTCAGTTTTTAATACCCAGTGCCAATTAAACTACCTAACAAGTAATAGTAGTTGGAGAATATTTGTCACATGTGTAAATATATGAACTGTAGAAGAAAAAACATAAATTACTGTTTTCTAAAAGCTCAAATATTGTTTTCAAGTTAATTTATTTAACTTGAACATTAACTCTTTTCATTTTAAAATGAGCATTTCCCAGTAAGTAATTTAAATTATTGATACTTGTTTCCAGGTAATAAATGAAGGGGAGTCAAGCTTTGCCACTGAGCCACAGGAAGAGTTAGAGGAGACTCCCAGTCCAGTTGTGGATGAGAATAATATAGTTTCAGCAAAAAAACAGGGGCCAAATTTACATAACTGGAGTAGTGACTGGAGCTTTTGGGTAATATTTTTCCTTCTTTATAACTTCATTTTAATCTTAAATGCAAAGTTTCTTTAAGTTTATAGCAATTTATATAATATTTATAATATTGTCTTATTCGCTTCTAGATTTCAGATATTTAAGTTTTAGTCCAGAGTCCAGGACATTTCTGATTATGCTCTCCTTTGGCCACTAGAATGCACTGTTGTCTGGTTTGTTGGAGTGGAATTGTCTGCTTCAGTTTCCCTGGGAGAAAAACTACACCACAGAATTGGATTCCACTTACACTGTTGTTCACTGTATTGGCAAGACTAACGTTATGCAGAAACTATATTTCTAAATATTACTGAGAAATCAGCTATTTTACATAATTTTTATTTAAAGAATTAGTTTCGGTACCTAAAAGGAAGTTTAACAATGTTTGACCTGTAGTGTATAATAATTATGAGATAGGTTTTAAAGTTAAGAGTTTCACATTCTGTTTGCACTGTACTTACTTGGTTGCATAACCTGAATATGGTTCAGGTTTCCCCCACTGTAAAATGAGACTCCTGCTTGTTGATTAGGTGCACAGAGTCTTTTGGTAAGAACAGCATTTCTATTGCTATATGAATGCTAGCATTTATTATCTTAAAGGGCTTGTTCTAAATCTAGCAGTTCCTATGAGAGTTAGGAGATATTTGACAGAATCTGGTATAATGCAACTATAAGTGAAATTGATATAAGATTATAAGGCATTTATAGTTCCAATATTAATTTATTAGAAAGCTGATCTCTTGATGATTAGGTATACTTGGTAGCAGAATTTCTTATAATTTTAGAGTACCTTAAAAAAGACATGATATTGGGCGCCTGGGTGGCTCAGTTGGTTAAGCGACTGCCTTCGGCTCAGGTCATGATCCTGGAGTCCCGGGATCGAGTCCCACATCGGGCTCCCTGCTCGGCAGGGAGTCTGCTTCTCCCTCTGACCCTCCTCCCTCTCATGCTCTCTGTCTCTCATTCTCTCTCTCAAAATAAATAAATAAATAAATAAATCTTTAAAAAAAAAAGACATGATATTAATGGTTATAAAGATTAGTACAAGTACCATTATTCTGTTTATAATTAGTAGCTCAGTTTTTGAATATTATTGAATCTTAATATGAATAACAGTTTCTTAATTCCTATTAAGAAACTCAGCATAAGTTTTTAAAAACCATATCCTGAGGAAAATGTTTAATTGCTAAGAAATATACCAAATAACTACACATCCTGAAAATTATGTCGTCTATATTGATTATACTATTTTTGGTTACATTCAGAGAAAGTTTATGACTATTATAGTGTTTGGCCCTTCTGCACTATGATTTTTGTAGCTTTTTTATAGATTGGAAAACCTTTATAGTTCCAAGAGCTATCTACAGGGCTAAAAAGTCACTCCACAGTGACTTTTTTATTCTTGGCAGACTTAAAGCAAGAAGAAGGGTAAAACAAGAAAAGGAACAAGCAGGGGAATGAGGATTTAGTAATAGGAGAGAGGAAAAAAAGAGGTATGTGTTCTAGAGCTTTGCTACTCAAAGTGTAGAATGTGGGACCAACAGACTTGGCATCACCTGTCAGCTGATTAGAAATGCAGAGTCTTGGGGCGCCTGGGTGGCTCAGTTGGTTAAGCGACTGCCTTCGGCTCAGGTCATGATCCTGGAGTCCCTGGATGGAGTCCTGCATCGGGCTCCCTGCTCGGCAGGGAGTCTGCTTCTCCCTCTGACCCTCCCCCCTCTCATGTTCTCTCTCTCATTCTCTCTCTCTCAAATAAATAAATAAAATCTTAAAAAAAAAAAAAGAAATGCAGAGTCTTGGGCCCAACCTCGGACCTACTGAATTAGAATCTTTATTTCACAAGAATTCCAGGAGATTTGTATGCACATTCAAGTTTGAGAAGCACTTGTTTCGACCTTGAAGGTCTACTTTGGCTCAGTTTAGGTCTTTGTGCTGATTATAAGCACTTTATTTTGAGGAATTTTTTTTTTTTTGAGGAATTTTTATATGAATTCACATTGAATAGATTTATTTATTTATTTATTTTTTAAAGATTTTATTTATTTATTTGACAGAAGAGAGAGAGAGCTAGCAAGAGCAGGAACACAAGCAGGGGGAGTGGGAGAAGGAGAAGCAGACTTTTAAAGACAAATACAACATCTTAAAAGTTTTACTGACTTTTTCAGAGGTCACTTACCCAGAAACTGCACTATCAGAACTGAGAAGAAAACAAAAACAAAAAGAGCCTGAATAGCTAAATCAAAGGTCATGCTGATGTATCTTGTGGAGGAGAATTCCTCAATTACTCATTTGGAATATCTTTAATATATTTTTGACATATTTTTCATAAGCCTAAATTAGTTGGTTCCCATTTTGTCATTGAATAGGGTATTGGAGATAGGGGAATTACTTGGTGATAACACATGGACAATAGGAAGAAATGACATCAGAAGGTCAAAAAGTGTAGCAACGTGGACCTCTTAATGTGGAGGCCAAAGGTCTATGCAGATTAGTTGGTTCTAATATAATACGGTTATTGGTAGAAGTGATGGTGAAGAAGTCTGCTTCAGAAGCAGAAGTCTCCATCTGCGTGTTTTCACATTCTCCTGGCAGTAAATGAATTGAATGAGTGTAGTAAGATGGCTGTATTCGCTGAGGGATCCAAGATCAACACAAGAAAGACCAGTACCAAAGCGGGAAAATATTCGTGAGGCACATGACCTGGTAGTTAAGCAAAGAATTGAAAAAGCATCAGAGCCATTTCACTGGAATACCCAAGGAATCTGGATTTGTGCCTTCATGCTTACGGAAGGTTTCTGCCAAAAGGAATTGATAACTTTTTAAAGTTTTGGTATTTAAAGAGTTAAGCTCCAAGGACCTGAAAAACTCACTGGTGTAGAATAACTCATATATTCTGGCTTGGCTAATAACTCAGTTGTTCCACAGTAGTGAATTTAGAGGGCAGCATGAGATCATTGAATGAATTGGAGATTGAGAACAGAAAATCTGGCATAGGGGCACCTGGGTGGCTCAGTCATTAAGCATCTGCCTTTGGTTCAGGTCATGATCCTGGGGTCCTGAGATTGAGCCCCGCATCAGGCTCCCTGCTCCACGGGAAGCCTGCTTCTCCCTCTCCCACTCGCCCTGCTTGTGTTCCCTCTCTCACTGTGTCTCTCTCTGTCAAATAAATAAATAAAATCTTAAAAAAAAAAAAAGAAAAAAGAAAATCTGGCATAGAGTGTACACTCTGTCCCTGGTAATTTCACTGTGTGGTGCTCTTGAGTATGTTGTTTAACCTGTCAGGTGCCTCACTTATAAAATGAGAGATTGGGCCATAGTATTGCAACATTGGTGTGTCTTGAATCAATATGAGAAAAAAGGTGGAGGGGGTGTTTGGCTAGCAAGTGCTCATAATTTACATTCCTGGTAGCTGCGTATCAGTCATAAAAAACTCTGGGCAAATACAGTGGGAGCATGTTACATGGGGAACACCTTTCCTTAAGAGTGGTAAAAAGGGTTGAAAAGTGCAGGATAAGAGGACCTCCTATTTGTAATATTGGAAAATATATTTTGATGATTCCCCATAAATAAAAAAATTGTGAAAACTTGACAAAAGGATACAAGACAGTGAAACAGAGTTCACTAAAAGTTTTTTGTTGTTGTTGGTATCTTTTTAGACGTTATCCATTTAATCTTGTGCTGCTTAACAGATTGGCTAGTGAGTGTCTTTCTAACAGTAGGACTTAGTTTTTTAAGTTCTATTTATTTATTTAATTCCTGGGCAGTTAACAGCTGACAGTAGGACTTTTAATTTAAAGGAGTTTGATTAGAGCGCTTGGGTGGCTCAGTTGGTTAAGTGTCTGCCTTTGGCTCAGGTCATGATCCCAGGATCCTGGGATTGAGTCTCACACCGGGCTCCCTGATCAGTGGGGTCTGCTTCTCCCTGTCTGCTGCTCCCCCTGCTTGTGCGGGCTCTCTCTCTCTGTCAAATAAATAAATAAAATCTTAAAAAAGGAGTTTGATTAAATCACCATAGGCCTGATAGTGAGATCAAGAGCAGCGGATTTTCTATTTCAATCCTGTAATATAGAAATAGGAATCTTAATTGTTACATTTGTTTTCTTTTTTATTTAAAAATTAAAATATTTAATCCTAGTATGTGGGAAATGAGTTTTATTAGTAACTTTTAAGTCCCAATGTAGCAAAAATTATGTGAAGGGAAAAAAAAACTTGAAATAAACTTAATGGCAAATAAATATTTATGCTTTTTTGGTCCTTAACTGTTAGTAAAAATACATAGCAGAAGCGACTAACAACAAAACGAAACCCCAAAAAACCCACAAAACAAAACCTCTTTTTTTTTCCTGACTAAAATAATGGTATATTCCAGGTGGATTACTGTCCCACAGGAAAAACATATAGAGATTTGCAGCAGACACATTGATTTAATGTAACTTCTCTTAGTGATGTAGGGCTAGTAACTATTGAGAGTAGAAAAAAGCCTTTGAGATTTTCTGTTGCCTATGTTTAGAAAATGACATACTGGGGTGCCTGGGTGGCTCAGTTGTTTAAGCACCTGACTCTTGATTTCAGCTCAGGTCATGATCTCAGAGTTGTGAGGTCAAGCCCCACATTGGGCTCCGCACTCGGCATGGAGCCTGGATAAGAGTCTCTCTCTCCCTTTCCCTCTGTCCCCCCTCCCACCCGTCTACTTGCACACTCTCTCAAAAAATAAAATAAAAATAAAAAATATTTTTGTTCTAAAACATTTTTTTAAAGATTTTATTTATTTATTTGAGAGAGAGAGTGCATGGTGGGGGGAGTGAGGAGCAAAGGGAGAGGGAGAAGCAGACTCCCTGCTGAGCAGGGAGCCCAGTGTGGGACTCATGACTTGAGCCAAAGGCAGATGCCTGACTAAGCCCCCCAGGTGCCCCTGTTCTAAAACAAGAATAAAACAAGTCTAGATTTTGAACCATTGTATATGTACAAATAATAAATACTATACT